CCCACCCCCCCTACCCAGAAGCGTCAGTCAAGATAGGTAGGATAGCAACTGAGCTGTGCCGGTCCCCCCGGTTGGGCTGAGCCTTTTAGGATTGGCTCGTAGGAGTAGCCTGCTCAGCCTGAAAGGGCTTTTTTCCTTCTCCTGCGTCATCTCCCTGCCTCTCTACCGGTTCTTCAGTGATCATGTCTCAAATAAACGTACACGAAAATCCTTGTCTCAAGTCTACTTCTAGTGAAACTCAACTAAGACAGGCTTTGGGTGGCCGACGTGGGAGCCTGCTGAACGTTGCTCAGGGGAGACCCCCAGTGACCCCTCATCTGCCTTTGTCCTCACAGGGTCTCGGACAAGCTGAAGCAGATCCCTCAAGCCCTAGTAGATGCCAACAGCACCGACCCAGCCCTGGTCTTGACTGAGAACGCATCCCTCTTGTCCCTGAGCGAGCTCAGCCCAGCCTTCGCCCAGCTGCAGAACCGCCTGCGAAACCTCAGTCTACAGCTGGGCGTGAAGCCAGCAGAGGAAGTCAAGGGGCAGGGGGAGGACACGGAGGAGGAGGCCCAGGCCCAGGCCCAGCCCCGGCGCCATGTGCTTCTCATGGCCACCACCCGCACCGGCTCCTCCTTCGTCGGGGAGTTCTTCAACCAGCAAGGCAACATCTTCTACCTCTTTGAGCCGCTGTGGCACATCGAGCGCACCGTGTCCTTCGAGCCCGGAGGCGCCAGCGCGGCGGGCTCAGCCCTGGTCTACCGCGACGTGCTTAAGCAGCTCTTCCTGTGCGACTTGTATGTCCTGGAGCATTTCATCAGCCCCCTGCCCGAGGACCACTTGACCCAGTTCATGTTCCGCCGGGGCTCCAGCCGCTCCCTGTGTGAGGACCCAGTCTGCACGCCCTTCGTCAAGAAGGTCTTCGAGAAGTACCACTGCAAGAACCGCCGCTGCGGCCCCCTCAACGTGACCCTGGCCGCCGAGGCCTGCCGCCGCAAGGAGCACATGGCCCTCAAGGCCGTGCGCATCCGGCAGCTGGAGTTCCTGCAGCCTCTGGCCGAGGACCCCCGCCTAGACCTGCGTGTCATCCAGCTGGTGCGGGACCCCCGGGCCGTGCTGGCCTCCCGCATGGTGGCCTTTGCAGGCAAGTACGAGACCTGGAAGAAGTGGCTGGCAGAGGGACAGGACCAGCTGAGAGAGGAGGAGGTGCAACGCCTGCGAGGCAACTGTGAGAGCATCCGCCTGTCCGCGGAGCTGGGGCTGAGGCAGCCGGCCTGGCTGCGGGGCAGGTACATGCTGGTGCGCTACGAGGACGTTGCCCGCAGGCCCCTGCAGAAGGCCCGGGAGATGTACCACTTTGCAGGCATCCCCCTGACCCCGCAGGTGGAGGACTGGATCCAGAAGAACACGCAGGCGACCCAGGACAGCAGCGGCATCTACTCCACACAGAAGAACTCCTCAGAGCAGTTTGAGAAGTGGCGCTTCAGCATGCCCTTCAAGCTGGCACAGGTGGTGCAGGCCGCCTGCGGCCCTGCCATGCGCCTCTTTGGCTACAAATTGGCACGTGATGCCGCTGCCCTCACCAACCGCTCTGTCAGCCTGCTGGAGGAGAGAGGCACGTTCTGGGTCACGTAAGGGGCCTGGGGCCACACGCACCCCTTCCTTGTGAAAGTCCTGCTCCGCCTCCCTTCCACCAGGCGTGGGGTGAACCAGTGGCGTTTGCAGAGGGCAGGCGGGGAGCCCTGCTTAAGCCGGCAGCCCCCCGCTATAGCAATAGGCCCCTAGCCAGCTCGCTTTCCCAGCTGTGGGCCTGGAGGTATTTTTTGCTGAGAACAGGACAGTGCTTGTTCCCTTGAGGACTGTCAAACCCAGGCCTAAGGGGCTTCAACTGTCTGAGCAGCCCCAGGAAAACCCAGGACTTCCAGTTGATAAGCCTGCCTCTCTCTCTCTCTCTCTCTCTCTCTCTCTCTCTCTCACACACACACACAATCACAGATACATACACAGAAATATAAACACGAGACACAAATACATGTCTGTAGACCCCCTCGACGAGAATAAAAATATTTTTCAATCAGAAGGGGTTGTGGGCACTGGCCAGCCTCAGTCGACCTCCTGCTGTGCTCAGTATTAACTTTGCAGTTTCTGAATTTCTTTGCAATCCCATCTGGAATCCGGATGAATCCCTGGGAAGGGGCCAGGACAGCTCACGATGGCAGGAGATAGCAGCCGGGGCTTGTCAGGAGGCAGCAGCTGTTTACCGGCCAAAAATGACTAGGTATTTTGATAAATGGGATAGCTGATAACTGACAAAATCAACCTGTGTACAGCTACCACAAATACACATAAACACGTGCGCACCACCCACATGGGGAGACAGAACCAGGTGAAAACAAATACATACACGCATAGACACAGCTACACTTCTTGATGCTTTCTGACCGCAGGGTTTATCTCTTATCTCATGTCTGAAGAGGAGCCTTTAATTACATTTTTAGAATTATTTGGAGGTGGAGGAAGGAAACATGATCATAGGCCGTGACCCCATTCCCTGGCCAGGTTGGGGACTTTAGAAATTGGATACAGAACTGCCAATTTTGCAGCCTCAGCCACCTTGGATTCTCGTGGCTACCTCCTGCGGCCCATCCATAGCCTCAGTAGGTACCAGTGTGGGCAGGAGGCACTACAAGGGCGTGGCCACTCGGCTGGCTCCCTCAGAGCGTGTCCCTCCTTGAAGGCTACCTCAGGCCGGAGAGGCAGAAGCAGCAGTGGCCCTGGAGGCAAAGGGTAGCTCCCAGGTGCTGCCCTCAGCTGGGGCAGCAGGCAGAGAAAGTACAGAGTGCTGTAGGGGAAGAAGTCACATCAGGATACCCCAGCTCTTGAGAAATGGGGGACAGAGGTCAGCCTTGTTAATTGTTCCCATAGTTCTGTGGTCAGTGTCTGGAATTCCTCCTTTAGGGCTCTTCAAAGAATGTTGCTTATCCTGAGAGGGGCTGGGTGTTTACTTGTATTTTTTTTTTAAGTTATTTATGGTTTGGAGTCTTGTTTTATGGTTGTATTTTTTGTTTTGTTTCTGCAGTTGTGCCACTTATAAAGCAGTCAGGCCTGAGGGGCTGGGGGAGGCAGAAGAGGGGGAAGAGAGGGAAGCAACAAGGAGGATTCTGGCTCCTCTGAGTGGGAGGAGGAGTGTTCCCCTAGAGGGTTAGAGCCTAGGTGGCCCTCAGTGCCCCACAGGCTTTTCCGTTTGAACCCCATGTGGAACAAATCTCAGAAACCACCAGTGTTCTTTGCTGAGTACTCAGAAGTGGTATAAATTAGCAGCCCTCACCTCCTTCCTGAGAGGAGGCCAGATTTTAAAATCTCTCCCAGGCCCTACCACATTTCTGGGGTGTCAAGGGCCTGTGACCACGGAGCAGAAGTCCCTAAAGAGGAAGCCTCTCCCTACTCCTACTCCAAACCCAGGCGAGAACTCAGAGCCGCCTCAAACTGGCAGGGGCTGTAATAGTTCACTGAACGCTGTTCCTGATTTCCAGAACAACCTCTGTTAGACCCAGAGGGCTGGGTTTTAGTTTGAGTATAACAAACACCAGGGGATGACAGGACCCGAGGCCAGATGATGTTGCTAGGGACCAGTGTGTGCCGGTCAGAAGCAGCTGTCTGTAAAGGTGAGGACGGCAGCCATCTGTGGAACCTTTTATGATCCCTTTACTTCAGCTTCTGGGTCTCCATCACCGTGGACTGCAGCCATTCACTGCTTGAGATTTTCTAGTACAAGAGGTGGTATAGGGAGTTGGCTCTAATTTGGGGTCCAAAAGGACTCCAACTCTGAAAACTTGACCCAGGAGCAGAGTGTGGGGCCAGGATGTTTCTGGCAGGTCCAGCAATGCCCCCTCCCTCGTTCCTCAGCCGGGAGAGGGACAGACACCTCCATCTGGAGCTCTTCCCTGGGCCTTCCTAGAGCAGGCAACAGAGCTCTTCCCTCCGTGCCTCCGAGGCCGAGGCCACCTCTCCTCAGGACTGAGGATGGTACGGAGAATGGACCTTTGGGACTTCTCAGGACATTGACAATTTGTATACTGCAGTTTGACTTAACTTATTTATTTTATGGAAAAGAAGAGATGGAAAATACCTTATTGTTCACAGAGTCTCCACGCTGTACCCAAATCAAAAGAGGCAAAAGAACAATAATCCACTCATTCACGCCATGCACACAAGGACACGCAAAGCCGGTTCACAATACAGAGGAGACTGGCCCACGAGCGCACAAGTCACAGTGGCCCCAGGATACTGTTTAAGAAGATCCCTTGATTTCTCTGGTTGGTGTGAAAATGTGACCGCAAGGCCATTTCTGCTGTGTGACTGGCCCTTGTCGCTAAAACGGGACACAGCTCAAATCAGTATTGCCCTGGAGCTCAACAGTGCTCTCAGAATTCTCGAGGTTTTAGAAGGTGACTACTGTCTTTACACTCCTGAGGGCTGGCTGGAGTCCTGCTTTTGGGGTGCTCGACATGGACCCGCAACGGGGAAGATGGTCAGGCCGGGGGCTGTGCCTCCTTACCCAGCAAAGCCGGCGGTCACCTGTGCTCCTGGCAGCTCTCCCTCCACAGAGCCACCTGCCCGGGACAGGCAGAGCAGTTGAGGTCTCACCGCCGCTGGCCACAAGCTTCCCTGAACAAGAGGCCCTTTCAGTAATGAGCACTTACTCATTTTCCTTTTCTTGATGAAGACATCTTTAGCCCAGCCTTTATAAACAGTACCAAATATTCCAGCCTTGGTGAGACCGGGCAGTGTCTAACACCCACAGGCTGCCGCCGCCACAGCCCGTTCCTGCCTTCTTTGGACCTTCTTTGTAAACCTTGGATGGAAGAGGGCGGTAGAGGTAGGGGTGGGGCGGATGTGGGTCTGTGGGAGCAGTCATTTGGTGGGGGTGGGGCGGGCAGGATTCCTAAATCTCCACACAGGGGAAAAAAGCACCAATGTGCAGCTCTGTTGCACAGCCCCTGCAGGTTGCCTCCCCAGAGTTACTGCTGAGATAGCGAGACAAGCAGATTCAGCCTTTGCCCCTGTCTGTGATCACACATTATATAGGCACATACGTGTAAATTAACAGGGAAAAAATCTTTTTAATGAAGTGTTTCCTCCCTGGGCCAGCACCCCCAGCCTGGGTGGTGTCACAGGGCAAACTGCTGGCTGAACCCCCCCAGAGCAGAGGGTAATTACCCAGCCTGTTGCAGTGGCAACTTTGCCTCGCTCCCCTGTCGTCTGTTCATGATGGAATGAGCTCTAGCAGGCCGTCAGGGAACCTGTCCCAGGAGACGAACACTTGGCCTGGACGCAGACAGGAGAGCAGCATCGGATGGTCCGGTCCAGACCCTGAGGTCTCCTCCCACACTAGGGCCTGATTGATTTGACTACAGGGCCTGATCCTTGATGGCTCTGGATTATGAAGGACAGGAGCAGAAGAACAGCTGTCCCAAAGGCAGTCCCATTCCACTCCCACCCTAAGGCTGAAAGCTAAGGCGGGTCTCAGGGGACAGTTTCCTAAAGCAGGGAGAGAAGGGGGTGGTATGGGGAAAATGAAACCTGCAGAAACCCAGGGGGTTGTCAGTCTGTAAAAACTGAAAGGGAGCATCTGATACCTAGGGGTCCCCAGTTGGTGGGTCTGCTTGTGAAGGCTGCTGGGATGTGGTCCAGCTAGCCTCTCAACGGCCTACAGTTTCAGGTCTAGTGGAGGCTGCTCATTACCTCAAAAGGAGGAGGCAGAATTAGCACCTTCAGAATCTTAAGAACTTTAAGATCTTGTGTCCTTTGTCATCCCCGCTGCTGCATGCGAGAGGAATTTGCTCTGTGCCTCCGAGGATATTCAGGTGGGCCTCACACCGTAGGCCAGCTACTTTACTTGGGTGATAAAATGGCCCGTGTATCCTGCTTCCACCCACAGCAGACTTGACCTGTCACTCCTTTCCCATCTTGCCTTCATGTTCCAGGGCAAGTTCGCCTGGGTCCCTGCTCCCACCTCGATCCTGCGAGCTGTCTTTCCGCAAAGACCTTGGGTCTGTGTGATGTTTCATGACCACCTGGTACAGGACTCTCAATGACCATATGTGGCCTTGGTGTGTACCTATGTGTCCATACCTGTTGGTGTAGTTCATTCTGCTCAGCCACGTTGCTCCTAATGCCCTTGCTGTCAATGTCCAGACGCCCATGCCATGGCCACAGTCTGCCATCTCTTGGAAATCCAGGGATGCCCTCCAGAGAGCTGGTGGTCACCGCCTGTCGGGGTCTGCTTTGTGGAACAGAATGTGAACCCATCACCTGATGGCTTACTTGACTTATTTAATTAAAAGTGAAACTATGCAATGAGCAATCTCCGAAGTGTGTCGCTTTTCATTTGTCCTCCTTAGTAGCAGTTGGGTTGCAAAAACAGACATGTTGGTTAAAAAAAAAAAAAAAAAAAAAAAAGGTCATGTAGGTCATGTCAATAAAACTGGGGAACGTAGAAAAAAGTTAATAGGAAACTTTTAGTAGGAAAAGGGTGACTTCCAGCATAAAGCAGGCCTGAGGAAATCCCAGCCCTCCTAAGAAGGTACAGGTAAGCGCAAAGGGGGCAAAATGAACATTCCTTATGTTCCCTGGAGGGCAGAGCTAGTGGTAACTGCTGGAGGCAGCTGGAAGGGTGAGGGCTGCGAGATAAATACAACCGTCATCGGGCAGGGGCAGGAGCGGACACTAAAGGTCAGGGCCCTGGTGACAGGCTCAGTTTTGCTACTATCTGGCTTTGTGACCTTGGACAAGTCACTTTCCTTAATGCGGAGCCCTAGTTTCCTTTAGAATGAGGGACATAATCGGTGGTTTACAACTGTTGTTCCCTAAAAGCCCCCACAGGGGCTGAAAAGCCAACAGAAAGGACAGGCAACCTCACCCAGAGCAAGTATGGTTGATCTGTTTACATGTTGAAACCACACCTGAAACTTCACTGGCCTTAGGCACATTCTCAGAAACCACATGCAGAGATGGCTAAAGACTCTTCATCTACAAGCTGCCGTGAAGCCCTTTGATATTGCCATGACGTTGCTCTATCAATCACAGCAGTTGTAGTAAAGTTAGAATTCAGCCCTTGTGTCTCCAAATGGAAGGAACTGGGTTTTCCATGGAGAATGGAGAAGGTTCATGGAACATGGGGAGACAGAGCTGGTGGAGCTTTGTGGGTGTGGGGGCATGGGGGAAACCACAGCCATGAAGCCAGGAGCTGAGCACCGGGAAGGTGGCACCTAGTGAGAGGGGTGTGGGTGAGCGTGAGGCACATTATGAGACAATGGGGCCCCTTGCCCCAAACTCAACCCTGTATCCTGTTTCCCCCAGGTCAGCCCTGGTGTGCTCAAACCATCCTGTCCCCACTCCACCCCCACCCCTTAAAACACAGGAGCACAATGGGGCCCTCCCTGGTAGCGCAGTGGGTTAAAGCACAGCACTAAGAAGCTAAAGCCACTTCAGCATGAGTTCGATTCCCGCCTGCCCTGGAGGTGACCACATGGCGCGGCAGACCTCTCCTGACCTGCCCGCTGCTCCCCTCAGCAGTGTACTTCGTCGATCTGCCTGTTCTGCTCCCCTCTCTGTCTCCGCATCTCTGGATTGTACCCCAGTTCTGTATGCACAAATAAATAAATCTTAAACACACACACACACACATACACAGGAGCACAATGACCTCCCGTCCTGAGTAGAGTCTCGCCCCAGCCTGGTGCCATCTCTCTTCCCCATTTCCGTCTCACTCTTCTGGGGACTGGATATATTTAGTTTAACTTCTGGGCTGTGTTTCCTACCACAAATGACCCCCTGGAGAAACAAATTGCTCTAATCATAGAGCAGAGAAGCCTGGAAACCTCACCAGCACCCTCCCCCTCAGCCACCAGCCAGGCTGGAAGCCGCCTTTCCTCCCCACTTCAGACCCCCTGGATTCCTGTACCTTCCTCCACCACACCCCAAGTTACTAGACCCAGGGAAGGAGCTGAACACCCCAGGGGTCCGGAGGGAGTGCCAGTCAGCTGGACCCATACCAGGAAGCAGTCTGGGCATCCCCAAGCAGAGCCTTGGGGACCTGTTCCACTGGCTTGTGGAGGCCTCAAACTCCAGCACTGCCAGGCCCTGGCCTTGGCAGCACTATGCCCCTAAGTGTGTTTGGGGAACTGTGGTCACCTAGCACCCTTGGGAAGCTACAGTGCACGTCACGTGTTAAAGCCACCGAGGTCTTGCTTTCCTTGCACTGACTCCGCTAGACTTCACTCAGAGTCATTTTAATGGGCAGGATTCTTTTATCATGAAACCAGCATCAGCTCACCACCCCACCTCTGCCCTTCTTTTTTTTTGCCAAACAACATTCCCAAATCTGACATTCTATAGAACCTGTAGCTTTCAGAAACCCACATGCATAAATGTGCAAGACTAAAAGACAGGCGAGAAGGTGTAAGGGAGAGACTGTGCGTAGGTGAAGTCACTGACCTCCAGACCAGAAGGGGAGATGGCAGCAGTGAGCCTCGGGGGTCCTCGAGTCCTCCCTGCTGCTGTCACAGGACCTCCTAGCTGTCCTTGGTCCTTGGTGTCCTCGACTCAACCCACACCTGTGGGGCTAATGATGTGGTAGCCCCCACAGAGAGTGGGGATCCAGAGGGACCAGGTTAGGCATAAACACCACAGGATGCTATTGATCTGAGAAACGGGTGATTCTTAAAGGAGCCATTTCAGAAACAGCAAGACAAAGGCTCAAGGTAAACAGGTTCCCTGGGGATGGAGTCCTCTAGTAGCTGCTAAATCCCTCACTAAATACTGCTGAGCAGTTTATTGGAAGAACAAGCAAGTAGTAAAAGCTCAGCAGGAGAGAACTGCCCAAGAAAGTCAGAATGAGAGAGAAGTGGGGAGGAGGGGGACAGCAAGGGACAGCAAGGTGGGGACATTTCTCTGAGACAGGGAAGACAAGTTGCTGAAAAGAGGATCAGAGGTTAGCCACAGCCACAGCCACGAGGTCCACGTTTAGAGAGCACGTGGGCAGGGCAGGCCCAGCGTGCAGCACCCTGCAGGCCACTGGCCCCTGGAGGTGACCCTGTGTGCCCATGGCCATGGGTCTGGTTTTGTTTTCAACAATTGGCATTAGCAGCCAACACTTAAAACTGAAGGAGCTGTATATGGGAACCAGATTTCTTCTGCTTCTTGAAAACCGGGTGTCTTGGTTTAAGTTACCCCAGAAGCTGATGCAGAAACAGGGTTTGAGAACAAATGGTTTGTTTGGGAACCACAAACAGCCCAGCAGGGGAGAAGGAGAGAGAGGCAGCCAGCCAAGGCCACACTGGTAAGCCAACTGCCACCTTGGACGACTGGAGCCGAATCCCAGTGGGAAAGAAACATAAACTTCCTGCCTGGCAACCACCCTATCTGAGGGGTGAGGAAGGGGTTCTCGGGTATTCCTACGCCAGCCCCTGTCACTCTTTGGGGGAATGAATGCTCCTCTTGAGGAGAACTAATTCTTCAGCACCACCCTGCTGATGTTCTGAAATGCAGAACAGCATTCCAGAATTTGGATAAAGCTGTTATGTCCAGAAACTAAGGGACAGGCCGTTGGAAGTTTCCAGAGTAATACGGGAGGGATCTGACGGCACCTGCTCTCTGGGCTGGTCATGTGGGTCTCTCCTCCCCACAGTAATGGTAGGCTGGGAGTGTGTAGCAGCCGATTTAAGGGGAGAAGTCTGGGATGGGGTAGGGGGTATGCTCCCTCTGCTCTCTCTGAGGCAGCAAACAGCACTGGCATGTGATTTACTTTTTAAAAGAAAGATTTATATATTTATGCATACAAGAACTGGAGCACAGGCCAGAGGTACAGGGGTGGTGAGAGGATTCACCGGAGACAGAGTGGGGAGCAGAACAGACAGATGGATGAAGAACACTGCTGAGGGGAGCAGCGGGCAAGACAGGAAAAGGTCTGCTGTGCCATGTGGGTCACCTCCCTGGCCAGGGATCAGACTCACCCTGAAGCAGCTGTGGCTAGCCTACCATGCTGTGCTTTAACTCGTTGTGACACCAGGGAGGACCCATGATTTACATCGAACAGAGACGTTATACTGTGAAAGCCCGTCTGTGCAAAGCGAGGAAGCGACAGGCCACTCCTTATGTCAACACCCCATCTCCCATGGGCAGGTGAATTTCAAACCCAACTTAAAGTCTTGGTGGCATTAAGAGTATAATCCCCACCTGCTGGGGAGTAGGCACCCCAGGTCAGACAATCTAGACTTGGCATTATCCTTATACTTTCCAATAAAAGAAACTCATGATGCCAATGTGGCTTAATTTGTCATTCCCATCAGATCCAATGTCTGTGTCAGTCCTTCTCTGCAGGTGACTGATGGGATGGTCTAGTATGAAGTGGTCCGGGTTTCTCTGGTATATTTGCATCTTCCTAACTCCTCTTTGCTACTGATAGTGCAGTGACTCTGTCCACACCTGCAGCAAAGCACCCTGAGGGGCTTCACCGATCTCCACAATTGCTCCAGGTCCTCTACCGGGTGCCACCCTAAGTCGGACATAGAAGCAGGTGACCAGACTCCAGCCCCACAGGAGCTTGCTGTCTTCTCAGCACTGCCCCAGGAAAGCCCCTGGTCATGTGACCCTACAGGCGCTCACTGTGGAATGCTGCCAAGCTTCTGGTCATCAACTCCCTGGACAGGGTCCAGCAGAGAGGCGTAAAGTGGCTGGGCCTAAGGAATTCAGAGTTGACCCCTCCATGTCTTTTCTCAGAGGCTGAAGAGGTACAGGGCTGCCCTGTTCACTGCAGGCAGAGCCACGAGCAACCTCCTAGGGAATACGCTGAAGTGGAATTTAAGTGACACTGTTACTCCTTAAACACACAGAGGCCATCATCTGCAAATGGTACTTGTGCAGCATGCAGGACACAGACACACACCTTGGAGATAGCGCCAGCTGGGTGCCAAACCACCATAATAAAGCAAATATCACAAAAAAGCAAGTGGCTGGCCCTCCCTGGTGGCGCAATGGGTTAAAGCATAGCACTATGAATCTACTGCAGCCACTGCAGCATGAGGTTGATCCCCGACCAGGGAGCTGACC